TACTAGGATGGGATGAAGGATTAGAATACTAGAATGGGATGAAGGATTAGAATACTAGGATGGGATGAAGGATTAGAATACTAGGATGGGATGAAATATTAGAATACTAGGATGGAATAAAGGATTAGAATACTAGGATGGGATGAAGGATTAGAATACTAGGATGGGATGAAGTATTAGAATACAAGGATGGAATGAAAGATTAGAATACTAGGATGGGATGAAAGATTAGAATACTAGGATGGGATGAAAGATTAGAATACTAGGATGGGATGAAAGATTAGAATACTAGGATTGGATGAAATATTAAAATACAAGGATGGGATGAAAGATTAGAATACTAGGATGGTATGAAAGATTAGAATACTAGGATGGGATGAAATATTAGAATACAAGGATGGGATGAAGGATTAGAATACAAGGATGGGATGAAAGATTATAATACTAGGATTGGATGAAAGATTATAATACTAGGATGGGATGAAGGATTAGAATACTAGGATGGGATGAAAGATTAGAATACTAGGATGGGATGAAATATTAGAATACAAGGATGGGATGAAAGATTAGAATACAAAGATGGGATGAAGGATTATAATACTAGGATGGGATAAAGATTGCTTCCCAACCCAATGTCGTAAACATTAGATATTTCAAACTATGAATATTGTTACATAAAATAATCTAAGTTTGAAATATTAAAGATTTACACTGTCAGTTTGCAAAGATATAGGAATTAGAAAATTTGAGTTTGTGGTAAAGAAAGACACAATTCCTTTAGCAAGATGATAAATTATCTACTGTCTAATTAAGAAAAAAACTAAAAAAGTGCATATTTCTTTTGACTGGTTGTATGCAAATAATTGCAAAAACATGTGCAATCCGTTTCCTTATGTCATAGGCTTTCCAAAAAGCTAAAAATGATCAAAATCTGACAACTGAAAATGGGTTAAAACAAAGATTAGTTTGTCACCGGAAAAAGTAGTCATTCAGACAGTGTGGGAGGGCTATGGGTATTCATGAAAAGTAAGAAAATTTTAGCAGCCTCAGACCAATCCATTTGGAGTTATGTTAAAAAAAAACTAAAGAGGGGGGGGGGTTAAATTGCCCCACCCCAGCAGGAATAAGGTTAAACGCAGGTTTTATAGTCCCCCCCCCTCTCCTTACACAATTCCAGTACCACCTAGATTGCGCTTCCCTCGTTTGATTACGAAGTGGAAAGATTGAAGTAAGATTGCATCTAATTAAGAAGTTTTTAAATCATTTAACCAAAGGATTAAAATTCCGCCCCAAAAGATGTGGTATAGAGGGTACCCGGAGCAGTATCTGGATTATTTATCACCAAGGACAAGGATTGAAAGCGTATCTCCAGGATCTGATGAGGAACCGACTCCAATTATATATACAAGGGGATCATTCATCTTAATTTCTTAATTAATGAGATGATAATGAGAGATAATGAGATTCCTCTCAATATCCTATACTTTTTGCAATTTGCAAATCAGAATGCACAAAATTACATTGTTGATACAATATGTATAGCAAAATGTATTCAACTGCAATAAACGTAATTTTAGAGAGAAACCACTTTGTTCATTACAGTTTGTAGCAAGCAGAATACAATCTCTACATTTAAACTAATTGCAGACTTTAACTAATTTGAGACAGAAATACTGCAGAGTGCAATAAACTGCACTTACCTGCAATGCCTGTAGTAAATGCCGTACTCTTAAAAGTGTGTCCCCCAAAATGTATCAGTCCAGGCACAACTCGTCCGCTATCCCAGTCAACCAGGATACAACCCACCTGGCCGGCTCTAAATGCCACAAAGGGACACAAGCTTAGCGTATCAATCTAGCTATTACTCAGGCTCTAAATGCCACAAACGGACACAAGCAGAGTATCAATCTAGCTATTACTCAGGCTCTAAATGCCACAAAGGGATACAAGCGTAGCTTATCAATCTATTTATTACTCGGGCACTAAATGCCACAAAGGGACACAAGCGTAGCTTATAAATCTAGCTATTACTCAGGCTCTAAATGCCACTCAGAGACACAAGCATAGCTTATCAATCTAGCTATTACTCAGGCTCTAAATGCCACAAAGGGACACAAGCATAGCTTATCAATCTAGCTATTACTCAGGCTCTAAATGCCACAAAGGGATACAAGCATAGCTTATCAATCTAGTTATTACTCAGGCTCTAAATGCCACAAAGGGACACAAGCGTAGCTTATCTATCTATTTATTACTCAGGCACTAAATGCCACAAAGGGACACAAGCGTAGCTTATCAATCTATCTATTACTTGGGCACTAAATGCCACAAAGGGACACAAGCGTAGCTTATCAATCTAGCTATTACTCAGGCTCTAAATACCACACAGGGACACAAGCGTAGTTTATCAATCTAGCTATTACTCAGGCTCTATAAATGTTACAAAGGGACACAAGCTTAGCTTATCAATCTATCTATTACTCAGGCTCTAAATGACACACAAGGACACAAGCTTACTTATCCAGCCCTTAATCAATCTTTACCCTGTAACGACTAACGAGGCATGATCTCAACCCGACTTATTTCAACGAGGTACAATTACTCTATACTGTAATCAAAGCGGAGATCTGATTCTAACTAATTGTATTTAAGGTTACAAGTTAAATCAATAGACATAATGACATACAGCACAATCAGAAAAAGTCGTAATTTAAGATATACGTCGTTTTTTATTTTTGATTATAAATAAATGTAAAATGTTTAAAAAAATGATGTATACGTCATATAAGCTTTCCAAAATGGAATCTGGCATCTTAAAAATTGACGGGGATATTTAGGAAATTTATATATTTTAAATCATTTCAAACTTCTTAATATCTCCGTCAATTTAAACCAAGACTTGGACTAGCTGTAGGTAGTTCAGTAATCTCTCAAATTTATTAAATTTGTTCCCAGGATGTTTATATGGCACGGGTTGTTTGTATCTAGGTTGTATGAAGCACAGGGTTGTATTTTTCCAGGTTGTATATGGCACGGGTTGTATTTATCCAGGTTTTATATGGCACGGGTTGTATGTATCCAGGTTGTATATAGCACGAGTTGAATTTCTCCAGGTGTATATAGAGAAGTATATTCTCCACCTGCAGTTTATGTCTGTACAGCAAATGACACCAACTCATCCCTGGAAAATCTTTTACTTCTCTACCATTTGCATCCCCCTCTTCCCCCTAGATCTATGTTAAGTGTGCAGTATACACGAATAATCAGATAAGAATAATTTATTAATAAAACTGGATTAAATTATTAAACTATTAACTAATTTGTCAGAGTTATCTATAGAGATATTATTAATTTTAAAAGTATACTACGTTTCTGAAAACAGGAAACGTTTCTTCAATAAAAGTCTGCAGAAATTAACAAACTGTTATGAAAGAATTAAATTTTTTAGACTAAATTTTTTTTGTGTTTTACATGGAAATAAAAACCTGAAAAGTTAAGAAACGTAAATAAGTTTAGGTGAAAGGGATGAGTTTTTAATGACCATTAAAAAAGTGTTAGAAACGATTTACAACTTAACCCTGTCAGATCCTTCATCCGAATGAGTCAGTTTTTATTTGGAAAGGGATTCGTGGATTTCTACAGCAAACAGGCAAAATTTTGAATTCTGTCCTTCATCCTTTAAAGGGACTGTAAGTGTAATTTCAAGTTACCCTCAATGCAAAGATGGCAATGCCCGATTTACAACGGTACCCTTGAAACCTTAATCTGATCAAAAATGTGGAAGATCCTGTCGATTTTCTGACTCGAAAATTGTTTATTTCTGTGAATTAATCCATTGCTTCTAAATAAACAAAAAATGCGCAAGTCACTTTCACAGAAAAACTGAAAATAAAAAATAAAGGAACAAAAACATTGATATCTAATTCATAGTTGACAAATTTAAATGCATTACTTTTACGACTTTGATCTCCCCTCGCATTCATTTCAACCCAAGAGTGTGTGAGAAAAGAATGCTAGTTTGGTTGTATTTAATTGCCTTTAAAAAGCATCAAAGATTTTAATATTTCAATCTAAAATGAAAGCAACTGATTATTGGCTTACAAACTCTAATTTTCTAATCATTATACACAAGCTCGTATTCAAGGGATTGGGGGATATGGGGGATCAGCACCCTCTCCCTCCCCTGGATCAGTGAAATCTATGGTTTGCCTGGGGGGATTTTGGGTTACAATTTGTTATGAGCCCCCCCCATAAAAGAAAAAAATGTAAGCCCACTGGACGAATTTCTGACTACGCTCCCATAATTATACATATTTTTGAAACCTGATATCGTATTCCTTTGATATATCAAACTATGAATTCTGCCAAAGGTCAAATAGCCAAAGTTCAAAATAGCAAAGGTTTACACTGCCAGGTTGTAAAGGGATTTTAAGGCGATTATCGATTTCTTTTTCGTTTGATTAGAATGCTTTGTGATTATATTCCCTTGGTTTAAATACAGTCACCGTCGTATACATCAAAACAACAAAGACGACTTTCTATTTTAATTTTCATTGCTAAATTTGGAATCAAAATGAAAAGTCGTCTTCATTGTATTGATATAAGCACTGACCAAGCTTTAGCTAAATATAATTTGTATATAGATATATAAAATTACTTAATGTAATATTGAATTCAGAATTAGAAACAGCTGATCCGAATCAGGGGGAAACAGGTCCAATAGGGGGAATAAACTTGAAACCATGGAAACTGGCAGAAAACAACTATATATCTATCTATCTATCTATCTATTTACAACTATCTCCAGTCAGTGAAACAAGTTTCCTCTGTAAAATAAGTTAAGAAATAACCAAGCTTTGTTGTGAAAAAGGAAAAATGTCCGGGGAAAGTAAAAATGTCCAGGAAAAAGTAAAAATGTCTAGGAAAAAGTAAAAATGTCTAGGAAAAAGTAAAAATGTCCAGGAAAAAGTAAAAATGTCCAGGATAAAGTAAAAATGTCCGGGAAAAAGTAAAAATGTCCAGGATAAAGTAAAAATGTCCGGGAAAAAGTAAAAATGTCCGGAACTGAAATGCTGAATCTCGGACAATATTCAAGTATAGTCCACTACATTAGGTTTGATGAACGAGATGTTCCATTAAACTGTATATTCGACCTAGAACCTAGAAGAATAGAAGCTGGAGGATCAGGTAGTGTGCTGGGACGAGAGAGGACCAAGTACTACCGAAGGCCTGCTGGATGCGGTCAACTCCCCTCCCTCCCTGTGATCAGGTATGCCGATGATGTACACCAAGGCCCTGATGTTCATATTGCTGAGTATCTATCTCAGAGGGATAGTTATATCAACCCCAGGTCCCAGTCTCAGTGCTCTATAGCAACTCAGACAGATTATAGAGAATCTGAATCCCAAACACTTCCCGTATCCCCGGAAACCCGGGTTGGTCCGTATCCACAATATCCTCAAACCGTGAATACACAATCAGATCTGGACTATGTACAGCGGGTTAGATCTCTACAAGAAACAGATGAGAATGTGGAAGGATATCTAGAGGAGAAGGTTCTGCTTGGTGTGGAGGGAGAAGAGAGGTTCTTCAAGGTAGAGATGGGCACATTCGTTCGTTTTTTTAATCGTCCAAAAATGTCTTAGTTCGTTTTCAAAATTATTGTTCATTTTTCATCTATTTCGTTCGTTTTGTCACTGAATGATCGTTCAGTAAAATCGTTTGTTCAATAAAATCGCTTGTTCGAAAAAAATGTTCATTCATTATAAACTATGTTTTTCGAAAAATTTAGTTCCAAAAAATTGTTCGTTCAGTAAAATTTTTTTTGTCTTATCTAAATCTTTTGGAAAATTCGCTCGTTCAGATATCGTTTTTACAAGTTAGTTCGAACAATTTTAAATGGTTATTTTTTTCGTTCATTCATCGTTCTTTTTTTCTGAACGACACCCTTTTTTACGAGAAATTTAGGTTCGTTCTCAAAAACTTCGTTCTTTTAAGGAAATGATGCCCATCTTTACTTTAAGGAATCCAGGTCTATCAGAGAACAGGAGATGGATGGGTTTATCAAGGGGTGGAACCGATTATCCAATGCAAGGTTAGAGGAGAAACTTTCCAGGTTGTGGACCTCCAAACAACTAGAAAATGAGAGAAAATTCTCCAAGATGAGAAAGGTTCATGAGAAGGAAGTAAGACAGTTAGAAAAAATGAGTGAGAATCAAGGAGAAGGGACAAAACGTCAGCTTGATCCTAGAGTACTGTTAAAATATGAATACGCCTCAGCTCCAACCAAAGCAAAACAGATTGGACACATTCTTGGAGGGTTGACCAGTAGCTATCTTGATACATTCGAGGGATTGGATGAAATAGAAAAAATCATTGGAGCCAGAAAATCCAGTCATGCCAGTTTTGACAAGATAGAAAAGAAAACAGACCAAAATGCGGAAAAGAGTTTAAAAATAAAATCCAACAGAAAAAATCAACCTGCAACCTCAATACTGGAAGATTTTAAGATTGCTGTCAGACCTCAAACCCCTACTATTGATGAAGATACTGATACAGATGTGTTCCAAGCAGCTCTTATAATACAGAAAACTGTCCGAGGGAGAGCTGATCAGATCAGAATGCAGAGAGAATTAAAACTAAACCAGGATCTTATCCAGGAACTTAGAGAGCAATATCCCATAACACCAGGGGAGCAATCTAAAGGGTCTACACAGAGATCAGAAAACCAGGATGAACAGCTCCAGGCTGAAGATAGGATTGAAGAGTTCTTGTCCAGAATAGAGTCAGATACCCTGGGTAAAATGATAGACTACCTTAGTTTTGAACTGACTCATAGTGTGATAACTCCAAGAGCTCAGGATATCCTTGAACTGGACAATATGGAGAGGGATAAAAGACGGGAGGAGAAGCAGAACCAGTTGTATTCTCAGATCCTTCAGGTCACACGATCAACGGTCAACTTATACCTGGACCAACTTCTTCTCTCTACAGTGTATAAGGCAGGAGACATATCTTAATTATTTGTAAAATATTTTCTGGGTTTTAGATAAAAACTTTTTTTATAGAAAAGCATTGATGGTTAAAGCATGCACAATGCACATTCTGGGGCGTATTCAGGAATTTGTCCAGGGAGGGGCTTAAATTTTTTATATTTAA